GGGGGGGGAAAAGGAGGAAGGACAACCAACGTGCGTATTACATGCTTCCTTGGAACACAAAATCAAAATTGTTCGACACCCTTTTTCCTTCAAATTTCGTTTTTTTTTTAAATAATAACAAAACAACGGCCGGCCTTGTCTTTTACCCCACCTTCATTTGGAAAAACGTAATTGAAAACTGAATTAAAAAAATGCCTAGTCAGCGCGAGTCACCAGCTCGCGGTAAAAATATGTCCCCGCCCTTCGTACACGCCACAAGGATTTCTCTTTTTCTTTTCCCCCAAAACAATCGTTGATTTCATTACCAAAAAAAAAAAAAAGGATTTTGGGAAACGTACTTAAAAATGATTATTAAAAAAAAAAAAAAGACTCGATGAGCTCTTAGCTTCCTCCTGTTCCTCTGCTACAACTGCTTCTTCAATTCAATTCAATTCAAAAAAAAAAAAAAAAAAAAAAACTGCTTGGTACTTCATTCTTCCCTCCCTCCCCCCCGGGCCCATGCAATTCCACCGTTCCCTTTTTAAAGCTTTTTTTCACGAGTACTGAGAGGGGCGTGTGTGTTATGTGGGTGCTTGTTAACTCCAGACTGGGTAGTGTGCGTGCGTGGGTATGCCTGTGTATCGTTGCATTCGTTATACACCAACTCCACAACAGAAAATTACCGTATGTGTGTGACAGTAGGTGTTTTTTTGTTGGGGGGAAGTCGCCCCGGGGGGGGGGGGGGGGGGGGGGGGGGATAAGGATGACTTTTACAAAGAAAATACAACCCCTGACGAGTCAGTCGGTGAAACTCCCGACGAAGCAGTTTGTCACAGCCCCTCGTTTGTTGTTGTCCTCTTCTCTCTCCCTCCCTCTCTGCCTACTACAGTTTACTGGGCAGTTCTGTTTTACGATAAATAAAAGTATGATATATTGATAAAAAATCAAAATATGCCAAGGCTCTTCTTTCCTTTCCTTTTCTTTTCTTTTCTTTTTTTCTTCTTTTCTTTTCTTTTCTTTAAATATGCCATGGTGTCAGAATCTACCAACTCCATAAGAAAAATAGTGCAGAGTTAACCAAAAAAAAAAAAAAAAAAAAAGACTGTCAGGGGCAAGGTGACACTTTGACTAAGCCGGAGAATTCCCCACTAAGGGCTTACTCACACTAGGACTACGTTAAATGTATTTGACAGCATTTATGGCCGGACCTGAATGTATCTGGCCGCGTTGCGTCCAGAAACAAGTAAAAAGAAAAGAAGTGCTAGTGTGAGTATGCCCTAGGAAAAGATTAGCCATGACGATAAACACACGGCCCGTTTCCCGGCTTGTATAGTACAAAAAGAAGTTCATTAAACAAAAAGAAAAGCACCCCGCAGTGCTTATTTGTTTATTTTTTTATTATTATTCTGAAAAAACGCCACGGCCTCAGAACAGATACGGCGTTCAAGCGGGATGTCATACGAAACCCCTTACGCACATCCTCCTGTGCTTATTCGTTTATTTACTATTATTCAAATTTTATATTTCGTATCTCGTGTTCATTTATTGCTTTATCGATTTATTTTGTTTTTATTTATTTATTATTATATTATTTGTTTTTTTCCCATATGAGAAGGGGGTGGCAGGAGAATCGGACCAACCTATCCAACTTCTGACGAATGCTTTTTTTTTTTTTTTTTTTTGGTGTCTGTGTGTGGGGGGGGGGGGGTCCATAAGTTAATTAGTTTGCCGGCTGTTGCTAATATTGAGATCCCTTTAAAAATTGACCCAAAAAAAAAAAAAGCAAGAGATACTTCGAAGTACACAAAGATAGAGCCTCGAAATTTCGCTCGGAATTTCGGAGTGCCCAGGAGAGAGAGCAGTCGGAAGAAGAGGCTAAGAATGAGAGTGTGGAGGACGTGGCCACGTG